TGGATGGATGGAGGGATGGATGGATGGATGGATGGAGGGATGGATGGATGGATGGATGGATGGAGGGATGGATGGATGGATGGATGGATGGATGGATGGATGGATGGATGGATGGATGGATGGTTGGATGGATGGATGGATGGATGGATGGATGGATGGAGGGATGGATGGATGGATGGATGGATGGATGGATGGATGGATGGATGGGTGGATACCTTGGTAGATGGGTGGATGGATGGATGGATGGATGGATGGATGGATAGGTGAATGGATGGATGGAAGGATGGATGGATGGAAGGATGGATGGATAGATGAAAGGATGGATGGATGGAAGGATAGATGGATGAATGGATGGATGGATGGATAGGTGAATGGATGGATGGAAGGATGGATGGATGGAAGGATGGATGGATAGATTGGTAGATGGATTGATGGATGGATAGATTGGTAGATGGATGGAATCTGAATCAATCAATAAATCAATCAATCCATTGCTCTGCAGGTATCCCGGAGCTGCGTCAGTCCATCTGTGATTTCCACTGTAAGACAGACGACCTGCAGGACCTTGACCCTGAGCAGGTGGTCGTCGGGCCGGGGTCAAAGGAGCTCATCTACCTGCTGCTAGAGGTGTTTCATGGAGGTGAGGAGAACACCTGAAGGAACACCTGAAGGTTTCTTAAGAGGTGGGGCAATGGCAGAGTGCTCAGCTCGGAACCAAGAGGTCCCGGGTTCGAGTCCTGACATGCCACCGATCTTGTAACCTTGGGAAAGGCACTTAACACGACTTTCCCCACTAGACTCAAGTGAAAATGAGTATTGTCTGTCCTGTATTTGTTTTTATGTGTAGGACACAACACCAGCAACAGCTGCCTGTGTCCCACGTGTATTCCTTAATAGTCTCTATTGTATCCAGAACCACCTGATATAGTTCTATGCCTGAATGGGTTAGGGTTAGGCATGGTTCTGGATATAGTCTTCGCATAGAAGTCCAAGAACAAAGAATTTCCCCAGGCATGGTTTTAAACATGCATGAAATCACTTACCATCAGTGAGAGAACTTCTCTCTGATTTGAAATTAAACCTAGATAGCCTAAAGATGAAACACAACAGGGAACTACAGACAGGCAAAATACAACAAAAAAATGTCAATCATTCTAAACCAGGAAGATAAAACCCTGCTGAACAATCCTTCAGCACCAAGGACATGGAAACAATTTTATTTAAACCTGGCCCTGTTTCTAACACTGCAAGACTTGACTGTGTATTTTTGCTTCTTTTTTCAGATGTCACCTTGTTGTCACCTTGCTGAACAACTCTTCAGCACCAAGGACAGGTCCTGTTTCTAATAACACCCTAAGACTTGACTGTGTATTTTTGCTTCTTTTTTCTAGATGTCCTCTTGTTGTCACCTTGTTGGACAACCTACATTAAATCATTCTGAACAATTCTTCAGCGCCAAGGACAGGGAAACAGTTGTATTTAAGCCAGGCCCTGTTTCTATAACACTATTATTTTTGCTTCTTGTTTTCAGATGTCCTCTTGTTGTCACCTTGTTGGACAACCTACAAGCCTCAATGTCACCTGACCAGACACAAGGTCGTGGTGATGCAGACAAACATGGAGGACGAGTGGAGGCTGACACCCGAACTACTGGAGCAGGTTTGTTTGTTTGTTTGTACCACCTATTACCACTGTCACCTTGCCATCTGCAAGCAGCAAGAGGTAAGGTCACAGCAAGTAGATTTTTTGAATGAATAAATATTATCTACGCGACGCCGTATGCTAAAAAATTCTACATATAGAAGTGGCGCTTGTTTGGTAACCTAGAGCAGCACTTCGGTAGAATGTACTGCGCCTGCATGTGCAAACCCCCCATTTTTGTTTGAATTTTGGTCAATGTTGCATCAGAATTTTGCCTGTTGCAGAGGATATTTTTTCCAACATAACATTTGAAAACTACAGATGGAGTGTTAACCTTATATACGCCAATACGACCTTATATGAGACGTTCTGCCGAAGCGCTATGCACGGTACATTACGGGTTTTGCGCAGGTGCAGTACGTTCTGCCGACGTGCTACCTGAAGAGCATAGTTGAAGTGATACGAGGCTATAGCTGTTACTTTCTGCATTAAGTCTTATAATCCAGGAATAGAATACTTGTCGTCAGTCTTTGGTAATGATTATGACAATAATTTTCACTAAAGTCAATCCCAGTGATGAACCTGGACGAGGGGGGGATACAAGCTCAGCCATGTTAGACATCGAAACGTAAGCAGGAGAGAACCTTTACTGGTTGTGTAAGAAAAAAATTCTATACCCTAATAATTTTCCCATTTCTGTTTCTCCAGACCCTTCAGAGTAACGAGCTTCATAAGAACAAACTTCTCATCCTGTGTAACCCTGACAATCCCTGTAAGTAGCTTCTTAAAGACTCTTTTATTTTCTTAAGAAATAGAGAATTATCTTCATTATGATAGGTTAGTTTAATTTGTAGTTCAAGAATTGTATTTTTGATTTACATACTATAATACTGAATCATTGCATCATTTGCAAAAAGAGAATTTAACCCAACATAATTCATTAAGTATTGGCCACACCAATTTAATTTGTTGTTTCTCGGATTAAAAAATGTGCATAATTGGAAATAGTCTAACTTAGAGAATAAAAACAAACTTAAGAATAATTCAAAAAATATGTTCAACTAGAAAAATATAATGAAAACAAAGTGAGTGAGGACCAGGGCGATGCCTTGGAGCACTCAGTTTTATGTTACCATCAGCCAAATAACAAATTGGTTTTGGATTTGCTATCAAGCATCTGTAAATACAGACATATATGCCCTCTGCTTTTATGGTGTCCAGCTTGTTATACTGTCATCTTCAAATGCCTGAGAAGTACTGAAAAATAAATTTGTGTGGCCATGTATAACTTTTACTTACTTTATTGCATAAATCTGCTTGCATGACTGCTTTCTAAAGTCTCTAACATTATGGATGTTCTGCCATTGCAATTCTGATTCAGTAGAATATCTTGCCAAGCTAGTTGCTGGTAATATATGCTATTAGCAAATATGCTCTTTGACTGGTAGTCAGTCTGGTACTATAGAAGACTGAAATCAGGTCTATTTTCTATATATTGTAGTATAATGACTCTAAAAAGAAATGAGGTATAACAACTTTTAAAATACTGTCAGTAAATTGGGAAAATAGAAAAACAGTTCAAGTTATTACCCTTTTCAATACTTGTATGAGCATGTAAATATGAAATGTTTTCTTCATCTGTTGATGCATAATCTAATCCTGGCTGAAAACACTGACTAATGTTCAAAGTAAAGATGTAAAAATTCAAGACTAAATGTAGTACCCTAAGAGAGATGTGTAATGATTAAAAGAAATACAGTACTTTTGACTGCTGTTGGAGAAATACTGAGTTATCACAACAGTAACTGTAGATACAGTACCCAGGATTGTACTGAAGGTAGATTCTGATGTAATATTTCTTTAGCTACAGTAATTACCTCCAGTAGTGTTTTACTGGTAAATTTAGAGGCAATTGGCAGAACATCTAAAGCAACTCAACCCTCTTCCTCTCCCCAAAATTATTTGCTTACAAAAGCAGCTCCCAGATTTTTATTTGCCAATTTTGCAACCTTACAGTCCGCTGCTATGCAGCTCGTACAAAGCTGGTGTGTTACACCTAAAGTAAGTTATGCAAAACAAACAAACAAACAAGCAAACAAACAAACAAAATGTTTGGACTTAAAACTTTTGATTGAAAAAAGTTCTCTCACCTACAGCTTTTGACCAGTCACTCTGGTCTTCCTCAGTAGACTGACCCAGTGGGACATAATGTCACGTGGCTTCTTTGAAGTGTGACATCAACACAAAACAAACAAAATTGTTCAAACAAACAAACAAAAACAGAAACAAAAGAGGCTAGAGGGTTGAGTAGCGGTTGTGTGTTGTTCTGTCTGGACACTAACGTTTCTTGTTCCATCTAGCCGGGACGTGCTACAGTCAACAACAGCTGAAACAGCTCAGGTTATTTATCACTCGCTGTTGCTTGTTGTTGTTTTCTTATTGTTGTTTACTTTAATTGTTACCTTGGCGATACCCAAAACAATCAGTAGGCAAAAATTTGGGGAAATTTTTCCATGGCTCAAATTTTTCGATTTTTATTTCCTTTTATTTTTTTCTCATCGCTCGTTTTTGCTTGTTGTTTTCTTTATAATTGTGCAGTATTTGTTTGTTGGTTTTCTTGGCGATATATTAAGCAAGCTAGAAGAATAACAAGAAAAAAGTCAGGTCAAATTCTCCATGCCTACAAACTTACGTGTGACGTATTATGAAAGATTTTTATTGTCATTAATTTTTGACCAATTTTTTTTCTTCCCCCGTTATCATCACTCGCTGTTGCTTGTTGTTGTTTTCTTATTATTGTTGTTTACTTTAATTGTTACCTTGGCGATACCCAAAACATGAATATGAAAAAATCGGGTAAAATTTTCCATGGCTCAAAATTTTTATTTTTATTTTCTTTTATTTTTTTTCTCATCGCCTGTTTTTGCTTGTTGCTGTTTGCTTTATAATTGTGCAGTATTTGTTTGTTGGTTTCATTGGCAATATGCAAATCAATCAGGAGGAAAACAAGAAAAAAATCAGGTCAAATTCTCCATGCCTACAAACTTACGTGTGACGTATTATGAAAGATTTTTATTGTCATTAATTTTTGTCCGATTTTTTTTTCTTCCCCCGTTATCATCACTCGCTGTTGCTTGTTGTTGTTATCTTATTATTGTTGTTTACTTAAATTGTTGCCTTGGCGATGCCCAAAACAATCAATGGGCAAAAATTTGGATAAAATTTTCCATGGCTCAAAATTTAAGAGATTTTTTATTTCCTTTTATTTTTTTCTCATCGTTCACTGTTGCTTGTTGTTGTTTACTTGTTGTTTACTTAAAAGTGTTTGTTACCTTGGTGATTGTCAAAACAGTTAACAGGAAAAAACTGGGTCAAATTTCCCATTGCTCGAAACCTATGAGATGTATGAAAGATTTTCATTTGTGTCTTTTTTATCTTTTTTTAAATTTCAAGGACTATCTTGACAAAGCAATCCCCAAAACGTTTGGATTGGACATTTTAATTTAAATTTTTTGGGGTTTAAGGGGTTCCTTTATAAAGACTTAAGACAACCAAAAGATACAGTAAGTGTTTTAATCAAATTGCCCAAATTCTGGGGTGTATGTCATGTTCTAAAATTTTAGAATTTTGTTTTCAATTTTTCTGTTGTATTTGATTTTGAGGGGTCATATTTTTCCTGATTTTTTATATCATGCTGTGGATCAAATTGTGCTGCTTTTTTTATTACTTTTTTTTGTAATAGAATGCAACGCTAGCTTGCTATGTTTGGGCCAAATTGATTTGAGTTCAAAATAATTGCTACAAGTGCATCCAACCACTGATGTTCTAAGTTTTTACTATAATATAAATCATATTTGATGGATATAAGTTGTGTTGATGTGTCATGTACATCCTGGTGTAGGTCAGTGACATGTTTCTGTTTTCTGTTTTCAGTATGACCCTGAGGAAACACGGAATCGTGGTGTTGAGCGATGAAATCTACGCCAGGCTGCACTACACTGACAACCATGAGACCATCGCAAAGGTAAGAAGAAGAAGGTCTCCCGTGCTCTTCTGCTGAGCGTAGGGTGGTGCCCATATCCATTTCTGTAGCCCTTGGGCGACACACAGTTGTGCAAGGCACTACAGCAGGGGGCTGGTCTGCTGGTAGTGCTGTGTGTTTGACCTTCCCTCACTCTTTCTCATATGTACAGTTTTAAAGTTAAATTTTTTAAGTCTTAGGTATATAGGTACTTTATAATAATAGATAGATTGATAGATAGAGAGGGAGCTAGAGAGAAGGAGGGAGAGAGAAAGAAGGGGGGACCTACAGATGTAGCGATGAAATCTATTCCAGGCTGCACTACACTGACAATCCTGAGACCATGGTAAAGGTATGTGCCTCTAGCACATTGGCAGAACGTACTGCCTTTGTCCTTGTGACATCCAGTTGCAGAGTTGCTTCCATAGCTGGTAGAACTGCGTCATCATGACTTTGTACCATGTAAATGATTTTTCTCTCCCAGTACTACCCAGAAGGGACCATCCTGTGCTCAGGTCTGTCCAAGTGGGCCAGTGCTGGAGGCTGGAGGGTGAGTTTACTTATTAAATCTGCTATTTGACGTATGTATGTTTTCTTCTATATGCACCATGGATGCCTGAAAGAAACAATAAGTAAAGTTTATCATATCTTTACACCTCCTTCCCCCCCAGCTTGGGTACTGTGTGTACCCTCGTGAGTTGGACCCTCTGAGGTGTGCAGTAAAGTCTGCTGCCAGCCACACCTACTCATGTGCCTCTGCACCCATACAGTATGCCGCTCTGGCTGTGAGTATGTTTAGCTTTCTGAATCTGTAACTTGGTGTAAGTTTAGTGTAAGGTGTGCGTCTGCACTGATACAGTATGCTGCTCTCAGCCCACCTGCATTGCATAGACAGTTGCTTTCTTTGTATTTTTTCTTGGTAAACTCCTTCTGGCAAGGGTTGTTTTCTAACCTTGTCACATGGTAGTGAAAGTAGGGTTGTCATCTGTTAGGAACATTCAAACCTTCCGGCCTTGCTGACTTGAGCCTCTGTACGGAGGCAGTACTCACCACTTACGTTTTTGCACGTAGACAGCACGCAGAAGCACGTAGGGTTGTGACCGACGCTTATCTGGTATATATAACTACCCTTGTGCATAACACGCAGCAGCAGAAATTTGTTCAAGTTTTTCTCAATTTTCATATTTTCTATGACCCCCTCTCCCCCCTTCTCCTCAGTTGTTCAGCTACACTGATGAGGTACAGGAGTACAGGGCACACTGTTCCAGAATTCTACAAGCGGTGGGGAGTTATAGCTGTAAGGAACTCAGGGCTGTAGGTGTGAAGGTGGTACAGCCTACATCTGGGTACTACATACTGCCTAACTTTGAGGTGAGTTACATTTTGTACTAATGGAGTGATAGACAGACAGAGGGAGAGAGAGAGAGAGGGAGAGAGGTTGTGGGGACCTACAATTGTAGGGAATTGGTACAACCTACATCTGGGTACTACATACTCCCCAACTTTGAGGTAAGCTACTGATGGAGAGATAGAAAAATTGCAGCTGGCCCTGTCCTTAGTGCTGAAAGACCTTCAGTCTGTGTTCTTAGTGCTTTAAAATTGTATTTTTCTTCTTTGCATGATGTTCTGCCCTCTTTGCATCCACTTTTGTTGCTTTTCTTGTTATTTTGAATGCAAAATTCTCCTGTCACAGGCCTTTTGGGGTCTGTTTCATATGATTATTTCTTATTCCCAGGTGTTGAGGACTGCCCTGTCCAAACGTGGCATCACCACCTGTACACAGATGTGTGAAGCACTGTTTGAAGAGGCCAGAGTTGCGGTGAGTACAAAAGTTACTCTGCTAGAGTAGGGATTCAAACTCAGAACCTTTAGGGTGCACTAACCTAAGGGTCAGTCAACAACCCTACCTACAAGACTACCTTTCCCTATCCAACTCTTGAAAAATTGTGCATATTCTTGTGTGACAGCCATTTTTTTGTAAAAAAAATGGCAAAGTCCTCCCCACAGTAGAAGTGGCATAGGGCTGCACCAATCTTTAGTTTAGAAGCCCTTGGGCCACACAGTCATGCAATCACTACAGCATGGGGCTAGTCCACTGGGTGGTGTATGTTTAACAACTAATATGCTCTTTCTCAAATGCTCCAGACTCCAGAGTGCTAAGCAGAGAAAGCAGTATTTATTGCTCCACTTCTATAGTCTTTGGTATGACTTGGCCAGAAATTGAACTCAATGCAAGGTGGACACTCTTACCCAATAGGCTATTGCCTTGGTTAGTGTTGAATGTGGTTATGTGAGATTTTCATTTTACAAGTATATCTGTTGATTCTGCAGCTGATGGCAGGAGGTCCTGCGTTCCTGCGACCGATAAACGAGTTCACCACCAGGTTGTGCTTCATCGACTTTGACGGTGAGTACAGAAAAAAATAACCTCAAAGCAGATCTTTCTGTGGCTACCTGATTGGCAGGGCAGCATCCAATATGCTAACAGTTTGGCTGGCATTAAAAAAATACCGATATAAGAAAGAAAGCCTGTTAAAGGTAACAATACAAATGTATGTCTGTTTGGATCTGATTTTAAACTATTGATGGATGGAATGAATGGATAGACTCACCTTGTAATTTTGTCTTGTCATAATGGCTGAGGTTTGAAGAAGCTATTGAATGAATGGTAGAATGAATGAATGGTTAAATGAATGGTTGAATGAATGAATGGTAGAATGAATGAATGGAAAAATGAATGGATATGAACTCACCCCTCAGTTTTTCCTGTCCCTGTTGACCCCAGGAAGCCACGCTCTGAAGGCGAGTAAGAAACTCGGACTGGACGTTCCCCTGTCTGAGGAGTTTGTGAAGGAATACTGTCAGCAGACCTATGACGGCATTCAGGTGGGGATTCGCCAAATAGCAGTTACTCATTCAGACAAGCAGCTGGATATGATTTTGGAAACGGTCAGATGTTTCAGCTAGTATCCACTAGCTTTCGTCAGTGACTGAGAGACCAGAGGAGAAATGCAGGTTTATAAGCACAACCTATTGATTGACATGCAAATAAGTGACGTCACTTTTTTTTGAAGTCCAAAAAGAACCAAAAGTTAGGTAAGTCAAGATGATGCAAATTTGTAACAAAGCTCCTGTTATGCAGAACAGGAGCTTATATAAGTGTTGTCTGTCCTCGGGGCTGGGAGCGCCAAATCCCAAGTGCCGGAAAGATCCACCCGTGGCCCCCTTTCCCTGTTGAGGGTGGGGTTGGACATTCTTTCATATATTGCCTCTTTAACACCTGAACTGTCTACCCTGTTTTATTAATGATAATTGTTGTTTTTCTTCCTTAGGCTCTCAAGAGGTGGGTTCAAACACAGCTTGAAGCTGAGTGAGGAACAAGGATGACAGAAAACACACAAAGTGTGCTGTGACGGAGGTCCCTGGTGGAGAAAAGAGCAAAAAAAAAGAAATTTTATTCTTGTTTAAAGTTGAAACTTTTGATCCAACACAATAAAGTTCTCTCACCTAGAGCTTTCGACCAGTCACTCTGGTCTTCCTCAGTAGACTGACCCAGTGAAGCTTGTCACATGGCTTCTTTGAAGTGTGACATCAACACTGGGTCCAATATGATTCTTTTCATGGCTGTTGCTTTCCATAGTCAAAAGCTGGAAGAATTTGTGATAATACATTTACTGTAACAGTTGTATTATGTGATGGTAACAGATTCATGGTTGTCGCATGTAGAAACGTTTTAGTTTTGCATTCTGAACAATTTTTTTTATATTGATTATCTCCACTTTACACAAAACATCAAGCAATTTCACTTTGATATTTTATGTGAGAACACTGCAATAGACATGATCACTGTTGTTGCAATATTAATTCTTGTTGATTGTGCTTTTTCAAAGCTGTAGCAATGCAAGTTAGAATGTTTGACATTTGATACAATCTTTCATAATTCTATGTCAATTGAAGCACCAAAAATATAAAACTCATTAACATGACACTTCAACTTCACAAATTATGGCATGTTACACATTAAGGTGGCTCACTTATTGTGCAAATGGTATTTTATGGTTATTGTCTAATGATGTTGTTGCACTTAAAACATGCATAATTAGACAACCATATATTTGACAATGTTGCACTAGTCTTCAACATGTTGAAAAATTATGTTGATTTTCTTTTAAATCACATGCACATCAATATGAAAGGTGTACATTTTGTACATTAATTTTGCACAATTTCTATACAAAATATTTATAATCATTATGATGATATCTTCCAATTTTTTGTATCAAACATGAGATTATTTCACAAGATGATGATAATGCAAATAAAAGTGCACAAAAGTACAAAGTGTTACAAAGTCCTTTAGTATATCCAAAGTATAACCGCCCTTTGGTGTAACACACCAGCTTTGCAGGCACGCGGCGCAGCGGCAGCTAGCTATATAATTACACCAAACAATGTGTTACACCCAATCTTTGCACATTTAATTGCAGGAGTTGTTTAAAGCTTTCTAGTCATGATGCCCCAACTGTGCTTGGTGGCAATGAGTTCCACTCCATGATAGTTCTTAGAAAATACAAGTTTTTAAACACGTCAATTCTTGGTTGATAACCATAGAAACAAATGACTTCCAACCACATTAAGTGTACATGTAGTTTATTGTTACACTCCAGACACCATCCATATTGTACCACAGAGGTTGGTTAGTCAAGGCAAAGATAGTCGTATCTAAACTCTACTGATGGATTTTACCACTTTTTTTTCATTCATTTTGGCTTACAAAGAAGCCAGGGTGTCCCAACTAGTCAAAGACTATTACTAAGGGACACCACTTTTTATGAGGCTTTTCACACTTTTTATTTCATGTTGAAGAAAATTTAAGTTTGGCACACACACTACACACACACATTCCCTGTAAGTTAGTTTGAGGTCTTAGTACATCTGCAAATTTGGGAGGATACAGGTTGGAAAATCTATTCAACTTAGGAGTCAAATATATCTATATTACAATGATTCTACATTTGGTGGCAGAACTTCTGAAGAATTATGTACAAGTATACATCATGTTCTTACCACCAAAGTGCCACCTACATCGGCTAGATACAGCGACGAGAAGCAGAACTCCAGTCAGAAGCTCTGAGACACCGAAATGTCAGCAAGGTAGGACAAGTTCGGTTGTGTAAAAGAACTTTTACTCCTACAATGTATATAAAGTATACGTTATGTATTGAGTTCTAAATTCTATAAACACTGGAAACTGGACTGTGTATTCATTTGGCAGTGTATGAACATGTTAGAGGCTTATATCTGGTTAGATTCAGCAAATCCCTAGAGTTTCTAAGTGTTTAATAATGCTAACATTTTACTTAGTTCTACCTGAGACATTGTCATACTGGCTCTGTGATGTAGAAGAGTTGTCATCTGCTAAGTTGTAATTGCCATTGAACCAGGCCAAAGTTGTAACTAGTCAATCCCTACATTAATAGATAGCCTCTATATAGCATGCCAAAAAATGGGGGTTTTGGGGGTCTTCAGGATTTTTGGGAGCTTTTATGCGCTATTTTCTGATTGCATATTGACAACATAGCCAGCCTGGTTGAATTACCCCCGTTTTTTAGAACTGGGCTAATCAGAAAACAGCCGAAGACCACCAAACCCCCAGTTCTATAAGCCTGCTACAGAGGCTAACATTTACACTCAGGTACAATACTTGTATTACCCCTAGTCACTACATCAAGAACTTACTAGTACACTATATTTGTCCCACCTCACTTTTTTGGGGAATCCATTCAAGAAAGACTTGGGTTTTGTACAATTAAAAGGACGGGGGTACAAAACCTAATCAAAGTACTTGGTTAAGGCTTACAGCTATCATATGTTAGGGGTGTTTACTGAATTTTCTCTTAGGTCGTCTTCTCTTTAATTACTCATTAATTACTAGTACTTCAAGAAAGGCTTAGGTTTACATTTGGAAAGAGTTCTGCCCCTTCTATCAAACAGTTTTCTAAACAATATCTTACAAATTGATCATTTTAATTGTTTCTCCTTCAAAAAATGTTTTCTCTGGTTAAAAAAAGGCTAAAGAACCTAATAGTTATATTAGTAAGCTACTTTCACATGAATGATATCTTAAGGGTAAGTTTACTTGTAACTTATGGTACAAAAAGTCATCAAGTATATGGCGTATAGATGACAGTTTAGTCCTCCTTTTTGTTTTCTTCTGGTTTTTCTTCCGGTATCCCATTCAAACCACCAGGGCCTGCTGACCTTGACCCTTCCCCTATGACCTTGTCCTCTACGACCTCTGACCTTTCCTCTATGACCTCGCCCTCTGACCCCTCCTCCTCTCTGACCTGCTCCACATACCGATACAGAACCAGGCTGAAACTCTTCGCCAGAAGTATGATCTTACCGGACGAGAGTCCGAACTTCCATACCAACACAACACAGAGCAAACCCAAGACCAAATCCTTGAAATTGTTTCCCAGGAAAAGTTGGAACTTTTTTCTCTTGTCCTGCTGCATTTTTTGCACGGCGGGAGCGTATTGGAACATACTGAGGAGGATAAATGCGAAGGTGACATAGATAACGCGGCTGTGGTAGTGTTTGTTCGCGCGCGTGAACTCTGCAGCCAGCAGGATATCGAACATCCCCAACAGCGCTGCATACACACGGTTCTGTAGCAGGATCTTCATATCCTTTGTGTCAGGGACAACATCTCCACCTTGTTTCCTCTCCTTGAGATATTCTTGGAACTTGGTTTGCTGGAACTCTTCCATGACGTACATGAGGAAGAACAGAAGGAGAGAAGCGACGATGGAGGAGAAGATGGTGAGGGGCATTCCCTCTCGCTTTGGCTTCTTGCCGGAAGAGACAGCCTTGGTTTCGGATTGCTGTGAAGAAGGAGGTTGCTACTTTAGAAGTGTTGTATCCAGAAACATGCTTTATACATGTGTACTATATGCTAATAAGTAGTGGCAGGGCTCAAAATTCATTTTGGGGAATAGGTGCACTGGTGCACCCAACCTAAAAAAATTAGGTGCACAAAAATTTTCTCGTGCACAAAACCTAACTACAGATCTTACTGCTCCTAGTGTGAGCTTGAATCTGAAATGGGAGCTAACTTTAAAAATCTTAAACAAGTACCACAACAAAGATTTTATTATTTATTATTTTTCTGACACTTGTATGACAAGAATATCCTGCATACTATTATAACAAGTTACATATGATGTGTACAAAAATACCTACAAAAATATTTGGGTGCACCCACAGAGAAAAATTGGGTGCACCTAGTATTTCGAGCCCTGTATAAAGTAGGTAAAACACCTCACCGAGAGTTCAGCGCCCATGTAGGCTATCCACACCAGGGTCGGCAGAACCACGGCCAAGATGGCGCCCGTTGCCCGGGAGATCGTCGTTCCCTTTTCCCGTCGTCTGCAAACGATACGTCAGTTGTTAGCGGCATTTCATTGGCTACTACAGGGTACTACAACGGCAGCATGTTTACGGAATTTCAATGGCTACAATATACGGCATTAGCTGATAGTGTTCAGCAGTGTCTACAGATACATAGGAAAACGTAGTGTTGTATTCAGAGCCGTGCTTTATCCAGAACTATGATCAGGCACGGTTCCGGATAGTCCACGCGTATCCAGAACCGTGTCTGGGAAAAACCTGCGTTCTTGTACACGCAGAGGCTATCCAGAACCGTGCCTGGTCCTAACCCAAACCCACTCAGGCATATAGAAAGATAGGCAGAGTTCTGGACACGCTGCACGGCGCCTACGCTGTTACCCAATGCATTAGAGTTCACAGGATGCGAAATCAGCACCAAGGACAGCACCAGCTGGTTACGGCACCGCATGCTAACGCCAAGAAGACGGCATCAAACGTCAATTCGCCCATAGAATTGACGTTGACAATCACTCATCTCTTTTTAAATTAACAGGCAATAGAATACATAACATGTTGTATCTTGTATCTCATAACTGATTTTTTTTTAATTTTGCGAAGAGATTATTTGCTCCAAAAATGTTGCGTTTGCATGGGATGCCATACTATACAGTACCAATGTTAGGGTTGCTACAAGGTCTATGTAGTCAGGCTTAAAATGCTATAAAATTCATTTTCATAACTTTTATTCCTGAATTATTCTTCCATATCCGGTCTCTACGATTCCTTGAATTAATTCTGTATATAGCTCTTTCTCATACCCATGTAAACTACCCCCCCTTTCTCCCATTGACATAGCCTAGTCTATACCAGACTAACTACGCTGGCTACATATAGGAGAATAATTATAATTGCCAGGGGGGTTTGGCCGCCTTTGGGATTTGACTGGCCGAGCAGGAGGGAAAGAAACTACCTCCCCGCGGCCGGACTCCCTTGGCCAATTTTACTCTCTTTTTTGCCGAATTCTACGATCCCTATTCCCGTAGAAAGGCCTGGTGGAGGGAAAGAAACTACCTCCCCGCGGCCGGACTCCCTTGGCCAATTATACTCTCTTTTTTATGCCGAATTCTACGATCCGTATTCCCGTAGAAAGGCCTGGTGGAGGCTAGGTATAGCCCACCGGCCTCATTAATAGAGATGAACATTCTGGCACCAGAGAGAGGCGTGAATTTGCAATTTTATAGCGGAAACGAATTTCTATCAGTCGAAACCCAATACGATTCTACCAAATACAAGTACTTGAAGCTCCTCGATACTAGTCATTATTCAGGCTAGAAAAAGCTATAAAAGTCGTCGTTTTTTAAAGGTAAATTCCTGAATTTTTCTTCCATATCCAGTCAGTAATATATTTTTCAATCGGTGACACCGAGAGAGACATAAATTTGCAATTCCATGGCGGAAACGCATTTCAATTAACCGAGACCCGATTCAATACTATTCACTACCGCACAATCACCCCTGGGACTTTCCGATCTTTATTTCATGAGCTGAATTATTGCATTTATGAAGAAACAAAATCTAATACGAACGAAAATAAAACGGTGTTTTAGCAGTAAATTTACTTAATTTCTAGTGTACATTCTATAACATTTGTATTTAATGTTAATAATGTTTGTAATAGATTCGTAAAATATACAGGCTAATCTCTCATTGTATCGCTTTTTCTATGAAATGCTTGGATGTATGTAGCCTCCATAACATGCCAAAAACTGGGGTTTTGAGGGTCTTCATGGTCTTTGGGAGCTTTTATATGCTATTTTCTGATTGCATATAGACAACATAGCCGGCCTGGTTGAATTACCCCCGTTTTTTGAACTGGGCTGATCAGAAAACAGCCGAAGACCTGAAAACCTCCAGTTCTATAAGCCTGCTACGGAGGCTAAAATAAAGGGGCGTTATAGCAGTAAAGTTACCTAATTTCTAGTGTATATTCTATAACATTTGTGATTTGTTTGTAATAAATTCATGTAAAAAATACTAGCTAATCTCTCATTGCATTGCTTTTTCTGTGACATTCTTGGGTGTATGATATGTGCGCATATTATCAATTATAATTATTTCCAATCAGAAAAAAAGCAATCTCGTTCTTAATGTTTGATTTTCGTTTCTCAAAACCAAGCCGAAAAAATACGTGCAGATAAGGTAGGTGCAAACCCTGAAATTATGTTATTATGGCCCATGCTGTTATGTTTTCTGAGCGTTTCTAATATGTCACAAGAGGTCAATATATTCATGCCCCTGTTGCTGACGCCATGTATTTATCAGAATAAAACTGTCCACGGGATCGTAGTTTATTGATCACAGCAAAAAAGGCCAAAAATATCGTCCCTACTTTTCAATAAATGCATAGACCTCAGCCTTTATGTATTTCTAGACCTGTAGACTGGCTAGTGAATGAAGAGATTTTACATACATTAGACGTAAAAGGTTGTATTTCATTGATAGAGATTCATACCTGATCAGTTGAATGGCGATGACGATAATTCTATTGCAAATTCATGACCGAATGCTGAGTCGTTGCATGCGAACAGCTAATAGTACGTATTATATAGACAATAAAAATTGAATAGAAAATTTTCAAATTTTGATAGCTGCTTATTGTAGTTGCTACGGTTGAATTCTTGTCAATATAAAGAGAAAATTTGGTGACCTCTTTAGCTAACTATGTTCTTTGATAATCATTTACGATACAATTATATTAGTAAATGATAGAATGTATTTCTTTTCCATTTGTTAGTTTTCTACATAAATTCCGTACCTAGAGGGTAAATAAGCGAATTGCTATCTTGTTAATGAGCGAACATTTTTGTGGCCTCTTTAGCTACCTATAGCTACGTTCTTTGATAAGGAATCATTTACGATACAATAGATTAGTAAAAGATAGAATGTAAATCCTTTTAAAGACTATTTTTTAGTTTTTTTTTCCTTACCTGGATATGAAGGTAATGATGGAACAGAGCAAGATGGCGCCGACGTGAGAGATCATCATGGCGGACGTTCGATTCGCGTTGACCTTCGTCGCCATTTCTCCTCCGAGGTAGGACGACACCATGATGTTATAGGAAAACTGTACCACGGCTACAGAGTAGAGTTCCGCGGGCCAGAAGCCTGGTTTTTCTACAGAGGCCATCTCTGAGCTCCCGGTACCAGATGTTGCAGAAGCGATGGAGGAGGGGATGCTGCAGTGATCGGCGCTGATGATGACGCTAAGCAATTTTTGCACACGGCTCGAAAAATGTGTTCGAATTCAAGATGGCGGATGGGAGGAGATTCTCTCTACACAAATGATCCGAAACCCTCTCTCAGCTAGTAGCTTAAAATATCGTACATCTACAAAATCACAATGCAAACGTAAAGTAGAAACAATCGCTAGCAAATCGCGTATATAAACAATAAAGATTGAAGCTTCAGGGTCGGTTTGTTCGCTGCCTCTCAGAGGACACAACGATGATGAATAAAACAAAAAGGAATAACAATGTGAATATGACCGGCAGCAATTCCTGGAGGGTTCGCGGCTGTGTACGGCTGAGTCTGTCCAAGCCAGGCGCCCTGGCGGCTTCCCACCCGTAGTAGGCCTTGGCGGGATCCACTGTTCTTTCCCTTGCAGACGACAGTTGAGAGAAAGCAGACGATTCTGAGAGAAATTTCAGACGATGTCTGAGGAAAAACGGACGATTCTAAGCTGAGGGAAGTCAGACGATAGCTGAGAGAAAACAGACGATGTGCTGCAGACGATATTCTGAGAGGAATTTCAGACGATGTCTGAGGAAAAACGGACGATTCTAAGCTGAGGGAAATCAGACGAGTGAGAATAGTTGCTATGGTGCAGACGATAACGTTATATGAAGAGAAACAGACGATAATTGAGAGAAATAAAACAATATATAAGGAAAACAGACGACAGTTGAGAAAAATCAGACGATAGTTGACAGAACATCAGACGATACTTGGACAATTTAGAAATTCAGACGACAGCTGAGCGAAATTCAGACGACATCGCGCCTAATTTACCTCAGCTGGGTCCCAGACGACAAATTGCGTCAAGGGAAAAATGATGGACGTAGCAGAAAATGAATTTTATCAGGCACAAGTCAGTGTAAATCTGGGTAACGTTACATTATGTACACGTGGATAAAATGTCACTGTTCTGATAATCATAATTAATCATTATAGTAAACGCTACTTAAGAAGATTGACCATGATTGAAATTTGTGAGAGACAAATTTGGAAAAAATGATGATATTAATCTATTTTGTATCAAAACGACATCATTTATTAGCATACGTATGCTTGGTGAATATCAATTTGGTTATTTTATTCTCTCTTTTTCTAAATATTCTGTGTTTTATTTTTACGGCACCTCCCCCCATTTTCAGCCATAACGATACATATAGATCCGTCCCAAATGGGCTAATGTATATGCATTACTTAAATGCGTTTAATTCCCCAAACAGAGCCTCGTGAGAGATGTGAAATCCCCATCAGAGCCTCGTGGGGGACAGATGGGACGATTTTTCACCCTTGTCATTATTCACCACCATTATTTGATTAAATGAATAGCTTTAGGGGCTAATCATTTGATGACGTAATGTGTGCAGTATAGCGGAAGGCTCAAGGCTCGTTTAAAAGTCACACACACCTAGACATATACTAGCCTCCATAGCATGCCAAAAACTGGGGGGTTTGGGGGTCTTCAGGGTCTTTGGGAGCTTTTATGTGCTATTTTCTGATTGCATATAGACAACATAGCCGGCCTGGTTGAATTACCATCGTTTTTAGAACTGGGCTAATCAGAAAACAGCCGAAGACCACCAAACCCTCAGTTCTATAAGCCTGCTACGGAGGCTAGAATAATTGGCTATATGAGAGTGCACCCGTGGTAAAGGTAATATTTACCCTAGGGCAAATGAATTCTATGGTGGCCAAAGCCCCTGGCAAATATTCTCTCTATTTAGCAAATTTTACTATTTTCAACTGCCTTGTTTAATAGTCTGGTGGGGACAAAATACAGTATGTATATTGACTTACAAAGGAAGATATCCCTTGTAAGTCAATATACATACTGTATTTTATATTTTGGAGTCTAAGTACATATACATACATGTCGTACATACTTGCTGATTTGTCCCTAGTAAAGATGTTCCGTTGGTTGGACGGACTTTGTGAGAAATCGATCTTATCGATCGGTATTGATCTATCAGCGCTGCGGGGGGTCATTCTTATTCAGCTCGCAAAAATCACTACTGATTGAGCCATTAGTTGTTTTTCGTGTCTGAACTTTACAAATTTCCAAAAACCGTTCTGATAAGGCTTAATAGTATCTAGAACCGTGCATATGTATGGTTTGTGCAAACCCTGGGTCAAAGTATAACATTAAGAGACAGCAAAACATACAAAATGTAAAAAAAAAATCAAGCACGCGTGTATTGAGTTATCGATTCGTGTGTTTTAATCAAAGTTTGTTGTCTGAAACGATCAATAAAGCAAGTTCGTGGTCCGAGGGTTGATGTTTGAATTTATGTGTCATAATTTTACATTACTTACCTAGGCTAGGTATGCTTAGACGTAACTTGTTTATATCGTCCTATAATTTCCTTTTGTATAATTGTAGATAGAATGGGCTATGTCTAGTCACCTTGCTGTTTATGTTTACGTTTATGTTTCTTTTTCCGACAACAACACATGGACTTAGGAAAGGATCGGTAGGAAGGTTAATATTTTTAAGCTTACTACATCTTAGTCACGTAACGTTATGTACTTAATTTATCCGATAAACACTTCGCTGACACCATCCCCTACTGGTATTTACATTTGGAGTTTGGAGTATTTACAATCGATAATTTATCTTACTTGTTTTTTAGACGTCTTTTTAACGCTACAAAGTTACAGGACTGAAAGGGAACGGACTATCTTCCTGCCATTAGTTGATAGAATGAGCAACTTAATGTATTTTACACATACTGCAATACATTTTAGTAAGGTTTCCTACATATATACAATAAATCTCTGTCTGTATCACTAGAACTTACTAACGTGGGTCGTAGCACGATTTTGATGTCGTAGATTGTACAACGATTGTATTGCAATTGTACAACAAACGTGCGACGATTGTAGGACTATCGTGCGACGAATGTGCGACGATTGTACGACGATTGTACTACGATCGTGCGACGATTGTAAGACAATCTTACGACCATCGTGACCCGGTCGTGACTCTTAATAAAGGGTAGAACCAGGTCGCGACGAAATGGTAGAAAAGCTGGTCGTACTAACCGCGTCGTCGCGATTTGGGAAAGAGTATCTATTTCTGTTGAAAGCTCGCGATTTTATAATCACGACGATGAAGTTATAGTAAACGTAAAACGCGATCACGGCTAGATTTTTAAAGGGTACACCACGCTCATTATCTCTATGCCAAATTTTGCAAGCAACGCTATGCGGAGGATCAAAAACGGTATTTCGTGCGTTGCCATGGATACTATAGGCAGAAATCTATGGTCGAGGCGAAGTATTGATTTAAACATGCTCAAGAAAGCGACGACGTAGATCGGAAAGATCCAGTACGTTCGGCAAACGTCGTGAAAGTTCGTGACCAATAGCAGCTCGAGGACGTCGTAGACCGCGAAGAACTCGGCCGAGAGGATTCGGGCGCGGTCGTCGTTTGACGTCAGCTTCGGCCGCGGCCTCGGGGAACTTCGGGACGACGAGAACGACATCGGGAAACTCCGGCGGATGGATACAGGCGTGTGCGGGGCGCTCGGGCCCGGCGGGTCACGCGGCGACTGCTCGTCCGTTGATTGGCTGCCGTCCGCACCGTCGATGGTGTAAACCGGATTCACCATTGACTGTGAGAAAGGAAATAGGACGTGACGTCATGACTTAAGAATATGAGTAGCCGCCGCCATGTTGGAGATGTTGGTAGATCCAAGATGGCGACAGGTGGTTAAACCACCAACATGGCGGACGCTTGGTACGTCAGAGCCACGTGGGTGCAATTTTTGTATCATTAAGTCGTTCTACTACACGATTCAAATGATTGGAAACTAAGCTTTTTATTCTAGGGACAGTCAAGAATCAGATAGACTTGACCGACGCCTGGCTTAAACCGTTCTCAAAATGAATGACCCAGTATAGGTCACGTGATCTTATAGTCACTACAATAATGGTCAATGGTGAGAAATTGTGTTTCCTTTAATTTCATTCAATAGAAGGAAAAAGCTTTCATACCAGTACGCCAAAAAGCAGTTACTCAAGCAGCTGGATATGATTTGGGAAACGGTCAGACGTTTCAGGTAGCATCCACTAGTTGATACGTTTGGACAAAGCATGAAAAACAAGCAGCCGTTTTTTCTTTCTATTTCCCTCTTTACGTTTTTATTTTCTTTACATCGGAAGGCACTTACCCGAGGGCTAGTCGGCCCTTCGGTCATTTCCGCGCCCGCCGAGCTCAGGTTCGGGAATCTTCGGACCTTCTCGACCCAGCTCGTGACGAGAACGCCGAGTACGACCAGCGGCACGGCGAAGTGCGTGTAGGTGTCAAACTGGGCCGCGATTTCGCTGTTGGCTGCCTGTAACTGTACGGAAATTATTGTTTAATTTGCATAAATTTGTATAAAGAAACTAGCAGAGATTTTCTGTCATCGTACAACCAGCCGCCGAGAGAAGGTCCGTGGGTGGAATGGAACCTTATCTACTTCTTACCACCCTACCAACGCACCATGTATGAAACCAATCCAACTAGCCATTCTTGAGTTATCTTGTTGACCAACAGACAGACAGACAGACAGAATCCAAGTCAGACCGCAGCTAGTGTCAACACGGCAACACCCCAATAGATCCATAAAAACTGGCGTGAAAACTTTGCTTTTAACAGTTGCTTTGTTTAAAAGTCACACCTCGTCCTTAGCCTTTAAGTAAAGATATCATAACTCATTGTCAAGGTTGCATGTTTGATTGTATGCTGAGTGGCTCAACGTCAAAACCATGGGGCGCGTGCCAGACTCATTTCTAAAGCTTGATTGCAATGTTTGAAAGTTGTTGTAATACGAAAGGCCATTTGTAAAACCATTTGTACAATGATTTAGTCAAAATTTGAAAGTGCAAGAACCTTTTTTTTTGCCCGCTCGCATTAGATTTGGAGTCTGCGAAGGATGTCATCCATAAAATTTACTTGTTGTGGTCTAACCTGATTTGCGGCGTGACTTTTGGACAAAACAACTGTTGAAAACTACGTTGTCACCGACGCCCTGTCTGACAACCCGAACTTTATACCCAGTTCCGTAACAACACCAACATTTTTTTTCTATTCCAATTCCAACATTTCATGACCAAGTGTGGCGACGTCGCACTCGAATTATATCAACTTATTTTATGCCGCCACAAACACAGAGTAGAAATGCAGGACAGGACAATACTAATTCTCACTTGAGTTAAGTGAGGAAGGTGCCTTTCCCAGGGGCACAAGATCGGTGGCATGTCAGGACTCGAACCCGGGACCTTTATACCCAGTTCCGTAACAACACCAACATTGAACTCCTGGCACCCAAACGAGCGCTTAAAAACGTTGTGATGAAGTCCAGACAATACTGTGTGCTTTTCGTACTAGTAGATGGTGGAATTCAGGGCCGATATGTATCTGTATACTTATTAATCAACTAGCATATCCGCCCTTGGGTGTAACTCCATCAGACTCCTTTGCAGGCTGAATAAATAGTGGAAATCCGTCTAGAAAGGAATGTAATTGGCCACGGGAGTTAGCCGACCAAAGAGGGTCCAATTTTAGCCTCCGTATCAGGCTTGTAGAACTGGGGGTTTGGTGTGGTGGTATTCCTCTGTTTTCTGATTAGCCCAGTTATAAACACAGGGGTAATTCAACCAGGCCGGCTATGTTGTCTATATGCAATCAGAAAATAGCACAGAAAAGCTCCCAAAGACCATGAAGACCCCCCAAAACCCCCAGTTTTTGGCGTGCTAGGGAGGTTACCTCTATGGCCGGCAACTCCCCTGGCCAGTTACATTCCTTTTTTAGCCGGATTTCCACTATTTATTCAGCCCGTCTAGTAGAGACTAAGGTTATGTGGCAGTTTTTAAAGAACTCGCCACATTTTCGGCACAAGGTCCTTACCTCGATCCCGACCAGCATGAGGGCCATACACGGTAATACACTCAGCAACAGGTGCATCAAAATGGCGGGAAGCCTGGAATGAATGAACGAATGAATGAATTAAGTCCAATATTGTACGTACATACATACATACATACATACATACATACATACATACATACATACATACATACATACATACCTGCTGGGTTAAGCATGTGTCAAAACAAAGGAATAGCTTGTACACATACACAGTCAAGCTGAGTGAATGAATAAATGAATGAATGAATGGATGAGTGAGTGAATGAATGAATGAATGAATGAATGAATGAAGAGCTTTTGGGTTCATATACACACATACCCACTGGGTTAAGTACAGGTCACAACAAAGGAACACTTTATAAGCCTACACATGGTCAAGCTAGCACGATAGTGAATGAATGAATGAATGAATGAATGAATGAATGAATGAATGAATGAATGAATGAATGAATGAATGAATGAATGAACGAATGACTTTATGAATGAAGACTGGATTAAGTACAGGTCAAGTAATAACTTCTACACATGAATGAATGAATGGATGAATGAATGAATGAGTCAATGTGTGAATGAGTGAATGAATCATTTCTTTAATTTGACTCATACACATGGTCAAGCTAGCCTCAGCACCATAGCCTAATATTAACACAATGAAACACTGTTCCACCCCCCCACCCCCACACACACTCATGCCACTATAAATGATTAATACTCCAGCTTGTTAATTTACTTTTCACACAGTCTGTTTGACTTTCTTATCAAGGCGGACATTCCATTAAGATCGACTCACAGATACGCCACCTGCTATGTGTGTACTTCTGTGTACATGTACTACCAGCCCGTATTACACAATCTCTCTAGCCTCCGTAGCAGGCTTATAGAACTGGAGGTTTGGTGGTCTTCGGCTGTTTTCTGATTAGCCTCCGTAGCAGGCTTATAGAACTGGAGGTTTGGTGGTCTTCGGCTGTTTTCTGATTAGCCCAGTTCTAAAACGGGGGTAATTCAACCAGGCCGGCTATGTTGTCTATATGCAATCAGAAAATAGCGCATAAAAGCTCCCAAAGACCCTGAAGACCCCCAAAACCCCCAGTTTTTGGCAGGCTGTGGAGGCTACAATCTCTCACCGTGAGGCTAATGTAGCCTCTACCAGGCTTCGGGAGGCGGTTGGAAAGAGTAAAAATTTGCCAAATAGAGGGATAACATTAGCCTCCATGGATGTGTATATAAGATATGCTGTGCACAGATTGCAGTCTGCTCGGCCAAAGAAAAAAACCTTGACTGGTTGTCAACAGTAAAGGTCGCAAATGTCATTTTCGATCGATCGATTTGATCATTCTGTTGAGATTTCAACAGTTCTATAAATAGATCCCCTCCATTCTATCACTTAGGCAGTTCCGTAAGAAAGTTAATCGACAAAAGTAAGGTCGAAAATCGACCAAGGGAGTTAACCTCGGTAAAGGAAACTTCGGAACACAATAGTGACCAAATTATCCTCCTCATTTGACTAAATGTTGCAGTATTTCAGCCAGCATTGTAACACTTGCGGATACTAATTGCTACACAGTAGCGGATATGTAGTACTTAGTAGCTGAATCAGAACCACAACAGTGTTCCACCCAAAATGCGGCACCGCCTCCTTACGCAAATATGTGCCTAATTTATATATTAGCCTGTTGAGCTACTAAGGAACAGGGGAGGGGGAGGGCCGCTTGTCTAGCAAACGTGGAAGATCGGTACTCTCCAAGCAGAGGTTTCGGGTGGGGAAGATCGTTACCTTTCTATATGGTGGGGGTACCGACAAAAAATGGCCATATATAAAAAGGTAACGATCATTCCCCCACAACCTCTGCTTGCAGAGTAACCCACTCTTACATTAACCAAAATGTAATAGTAGATGCCATACAGTAATATCAGTAATATCATATATATCTGTAGATTTAATATATTGTACTCACCATTTCGCATTCTCCAACAGAAATCTGTTCTTCCACATAAAGCAGTATTTCACAGGCAGGTAGATAAGCAAAGTAACTGTAGCCACATAAGCAATGGACGCGGCAACAAGCAACCAGTAGTAGGGTAGCGGGTCGTTGCTGCTTGCTTCCTCGGCGTTACTCGTCGTATTGCCCACCTGGATTCTGTCCACCGTTCGGGCAACTCCCTCGGAGGCCACAAAACACGGGATAGCGAGAGAAGACCATTGGCAGAGTTCTAGGAGGAAGTTTATGATCTTGACCTTGGTGACTCGAATCCTTTGCGGACGGAACTCGCTAGCGTTTGACGCTCTACCGTTTGGAATGGTGGCTGCGCCCCCGTTCGGTGTATACATGTTTAAAAAGGAACAACCTCTTAAGATACGCACGTATCACAATATAGACACCACTTGACCCTTGTTTTTGGTAAATCAGAATAAAAAGATTTTCGCCAAGGATGCGTCTGGTCGTGATGCTCAGAGGTTTTGACGGTGCTTTAATTTAAAGAAGTGCGGACAGTTTCGGTGACCAAAATGGCGTCGCAGACGATAGTCGGATAGAATCTTTGAGGTCGTCACTACTCAGAAGTTGTCTGACGCAATTCAGAACGAAAATTATTTCTGAGAAACTTGAAGTCGAAACTTCGTCGACAGTCTTGCAGATAAAGAAAATGCCTCAGTGATGACGAAAGTAGGAGAGTTTCAGTGGCCAAGATGGCGTTCCGCAGACGTCAGAATACGTCCTTTAAATCTCACCGACTGACCTTCAGTATTTGTCCTCTTCACAGACGTCGCGACTTTTACACGCATTTCCCGCCATATCTCACAACTTCCCTCAGAATATCAGACGACACAATCACAACGCACAGTTTCTGACAGAAAATCAAACGACAGCGCGACACCTTCAACGACTTCCCGCCATTTTTGCCCCAAATCTGACAAACTCTATCTCAGGTCAGACGACAAACAAAGGTGAGAAGTTTCGCGCACGGCAGGTGAATAAAAAAATGTGTGGAGTGTCTCCACTCTGCGATGTCAGCACGTTCCGAGCGACCAGAGGGGTTCAGACCAGACTTTGGACGACCCGTCACCGACTGGCCCTGTTCTGATTGGGCTCGCGAGTTTTAAACAAACACAAACAGACAAACAAGCGGTGGTGCACGTGATCTGGTGTGTGCGCAAAGGGCGAGGTGTGTCACATGGTCCCTAATTCCAAGCAGATGTTAGGAGGAAAGATTCCACTGTTCATGATGTCCTACCTCTTTTTTTTTATTTTCCCCCTTTTCATTACGTACCACAGGCACAGTCACCCGTATGCGTCTTTTTGTTAGCTATTGGAAACTTGTTACGGCATTTGATTAAAGTTAAAACTTTTGGTCCAACACAAAAATGTTCTTTCACCTAGAGCTTTCGACCAGTCACTCTGGTCTTCCTCAGTAGACTGACCCAGTGAGACTTGTCACGTGGCTTCTTAGAAGTGTGACGTCAACACTGGGTCAAAGGTATCTGGTAGACGATGTCAGCCCCCGTCGCGGTTCAATACGGTCTTTATTTCCAACGTCCGCTTCGATAGAAATGATCACATAGGTAACGGTTTTTTCCTGGCAAGGGTGGGGACGAGGTTAGCTATAATGAAAAGAAGCAAAAGGACGACGAAGGGATAAAACGCAAAAAGCCACTCAATAAAAACATTACTACGATTCTGCAGTTCCCAGCAGTGACAATAGATGGGGCTGTTTGCGGAAAGTTAGATGCAGTTCTATGTACGCCGCTAGGTAGCGCTGCTTCATAACCAAACTTTCAAACTTTCCAAAGACTGACCCAATGTATAAGACCTACGTTCTAAAACCGAGAAACAATCAATACATTACGACGTAAGATGATCAACTGTAACAGTAAGACACAGAAAGCATGTTGATTTTAAGGCCAAGGCCACAATTTTGGATACAGTTTGGCTTGTCTTCTTCGGGAGTTTTTGTACGGTTGCGCAACAATGAAAGAACTCGTTGCGCAATGTTTGTCAATATTTCTGGCACCCTAAAGAAGGCGTCGACCTTTCACCAGCTGTAGGCACGCCTGTACCTTGATCGAACAGAGGTCATTTCGAACGTTCGGACGATACCAACAGAGAGGAAAGTGCTTTTCTGAGACTTTCCCTTTTTTATTTGTTTGTATGTTTGTTTGTTTGTTTGACAAGCATGCAGCTAAAGTGTCCAACCAGCCAAATGTTGGGTTGAGTTGGAGTTAGGGCAGCTTGACTGGTTTTGCTAATCGCGGACAGTGTACGTGTAGTTATCGAGAAAGTTCTTAGAGACCAACGGCACAACGTCCCGTCCCAAGGACTGCCCAAGGACTGCAACCTCTGTCACTACTGTCCAGTTCCAGGTCCAAAACATCTACAGCCAGCTCGGGAATCGAACCAGCGACCATGCGGTGCACAATGGGGATTCTTAGCTACTAGGACATTGAGGCGGTTTACCGATTCATGCAGTCTCCAGCTTTCGGAGATTGCTAATATAAGTTGACTCGCTGTGTCTAGACTCGACATGTTTACCAAGTACGTGGTACCGACTACTGAGGCTGGGACCAGGAGAGGGTCGGAGATGTGAGTATACAAACTTCTTTATGTGATATTGTTGTATTCTGATAACTGTGCTTTAGAACCATGCTCAGACACGGTTCTGGATACTTTACTAGTTTTGGGGGTCTTCAGGGTCTTTGGGAGCTTTTATGTGCTATTTTCTGATTGCATATAGACAACATACTAGTAGCCGGCCTGGTTGAATTACCCCCGGTTTTTCAGAACTGGGCTAATCAGAAAACAGCCGAAGACCACCAAACCCCCAGTTCCATAAGCCTGCTACAGAGGCTAGGGATAGGCACGGTTCTGGGTACAATAGACTCTCACCTGGTCGGGTCAATGTTTGTGAGCACGTCGCGCCCTGTCATCAGTGTTGACTGTTTGTCCCGAAACCAGCGACCCTTGGTACCTCACAGATAGACTCGAAATCCAGTCGTAGGTTTGGGTAAACATTTTACAACTCACGCACTATTGCATGCCACTGGATATTTAGCGTTACAACTTTCAAAATCTCCTTTCTTTTGGCGTTCCTACAGATAGAAAGTACATTAGAAATTTGGACGCGAGGGTCAACGTCGAATAAAATTTTGGGCGCGTATATGGCCGACACAAAACATTAAAGTTATGTACATATTTACCGCCAGCGTTGAAAATAACTGCTATTTTTTCTTCTCAATGTGTAAGAATCTACAGTTAACATCCCGCTACATACCCATTTGCCAAATACAGTACAGATTCTGAACCATAGTCTAGATTTTTAGACTAAGATAGACTTTTAAGTGACTTGCTGTCCTTACCAAGAGGCCGGATTCGAGGCTAAAGGTGCCCTTTGGATTATTGATTTGACCCTATACTAAGGCTGATTTCGAGGTTAGTTGTTTTCCAGCTGACGACATAACTGTGTGTTCTACAGGCGTATCATGTTACAGGCCGAATCCTACCTGTTCTACCGCCAAAAATCGCGATGTCGCCGCGTCATGACCACCTCACTAACACTGTGTCTTCTGCTCGGCTGCTGCTTGTTAGGTATGTATATAGCAGAACTTTGTTTTGTCTCTACTTGTGAATTGTTAAAATTATATCGATTTCTTTGTACAATTCATTGCTACAATTTTAAGTTGTTGTCACTAATGGGAAAAACTTTGTTGTTCTGTTTCAACTTGTAAATTGCTACATGGTCAAATTTGTTGCAAGTCATAGCGACGATTTTAAGTTCAGTTTATGCGTCATTGGATGAATGAATGAGTTGCGAAATGTTAAAAGACACAGCGAAAGAAAAATCTTAAATCTAGTCTTGGCAAGTCTTAAATCGGAACACTAAAAACCGTTACAGTGCCGGACTAAGTTCAAAAACACGAAACGTCCTGTCGCAGTTGTATACATGAAGAAATGCCCTTTTGGACCAGTCGACAGTGTTCGATTTTTTCGGACTTTAAACGCCATTTCCATGTCTGCTTGCTAAAACCGCTGACATTGCGATCAATTTACACTGGAAATACATATAGAATCTTTTAAAATTTTCGGGCAAATAGGCCGGCCTGAGGTACTTTAGTCTGACTCGAGCATGAATGATCGGCAACTGTGTTTTTTGTGTACTAAAGCAGATCTATAAGCATAACTTTTTGACCGTAAATAATTTCATCAGGTTGGTGAACGAATGAATAGCAAATTTCTTTGATCACAACCATTTATTTTTACGAGCCGACGTTTCGATGACCGTCTGACATCTTCATCAGGGCAATTCTGACTGGTTTACTGTGTACTGACGCTAGATGTTACTTGCATTGTTAACAGTAAAAAAAAAAAACTAGCTTAAGTGCACTGTGAACCAAGTAACATCTAGCGTCAGTGCACAGTAAACCAGTCAGAATTGCCCTGATGAAGATGACAGACGGTCTTCTGTATCTGTATCTGCTTAGCCGGTATAACCGCCTTTCGGCGTAACACACCATCGAAACGTCGGCTCGTGAAAAATAAATGGTTGTGATCAAAGAACTTTGCTATTCATAACTTTTTGATGTTTTCCTCGAACTAGGTGGTTTCCTGAACAGATGCCGGGGCGGTTATGTGGACATGAGCATGTTGGGATACTGGCCGGCTCACGTGACCAGCCGGCTCATCATGGCGGTTCCTACAGGACTCGTGGTGGTGAGTGGGGGGTACAGCCTACAGGGGGTATTTGTAGGGGGTACACAGGGGGGTACCTACAGGACTGGTGGTGGTAAGTATAGGGGCAGAGTGGGGGTTACATGCAGAAGAGTGATGGTAATGGTCACGTGTCTTTGAAGTGGGTCATTTGTCTATGAAGAAGGCTAGAGGATCGGACGAATTCCATTTTGTACTAGCATTGCATATGCTCCTTTTTAATACACCAGGGGGAATATCATTTTTGTATTTGCATATGTATGAAAACTAATGCAATGGATAGAATATCCAAGTATCCAAATTAATGGTTAATCATATTTTTGGTGACGCCTTAGGGGCGGTGCCATTTCAAATGCCATTTGTTTCCGTTGCAGTGGTTGGGGTCCCAGAACTTCCGGGCCGGGCTTGTGGTGTGTCTGATGACGTGGTTTAGTTTGTACGTGGGGTGGGGCACGTACATGTCTATAGGGGACGATACCACTGGCTACAATAGGTAAGATGCACTCACATTCGCATTAGAGAACATACATACATGTATCATGAGAAGCTTTAACTCTTGTCAGGCCAACTCAAAGAATTGCGTGTAAATAGTGTATTTATTTATGCTTGATACTTTTACAGCCGTTCCGGTGTGTTTGACTGGGCTCTGGGCCGTCAGATGCAGAACTGGTCTTATCCAAGAAGGTGAGTCATTTAGTACCCTCCCCACAACACACTAGTGTATCCATCTGCAGTGTCAACTGCTCTCGATTGTCAATGTTGAATCCCTAGCTATTCATACATGTAACAAGGGCATAGTATAATGATCTTGTTTGAGTAGATATTTGAATACAACCAGGATACAACGAAACAAAGAAAACAATTTGCGTTCACTTGATGTTTTTGCAGAGTTGTGAGGGACTACACAGGCATGTCTCTGCGCGGACTGATATGGACCACGCCGCAGGGATACGTCCTGTACCACCTCGGGCTGGGATGGTGTCCATCCGCGAGTGGTAAATAGCGCTACTCCTCTCTAGCTTCTCCCATGTCGTAATAGTCTAATATTAGTTGTATGTTGTATCTGCAATAGACAGACCTTGTGATGACATGTAATTTCATAATTAATATGGCCGTAATTGCATACAAATGTATTTATAAACCTAAATCTACCAAGCAACTTCAAAGTCAAGCAATCCAATATGGCGGCCAATGCTAACGTCATAGTCACGTGAGTGCAAACCTTATTGAACAGTCGTCTCACCTTACAGGAGCTCTGATGGGATTGGTGTACTTCGCCGGTAACCATGGGAACGTGACGCTGTGCCAACACAGCGCATGCTCCGAGTACCTGTGGGGCTTCTGGGTGTGGCTGGTCCTGCTGACGTCATCGCTCTACGGCGCCGTCACCAGAGCGAGGGCGAGTTACCCGGATGTGCACCCAGAATCCTCTCTGGTGCCCCCGCCGAGTTCGAAACTGGAGTCGACCTTCTCCAAGGTCGTTTTCGAACTTTTCCACCTCGTCTTCGGTCTAATTCTCGGGTGTTCAATCTGTTACTACGCTCTGGTAGAACAAGATGACTTGAAAAACAAGGGACAGACATTTTTTGGACTTTTCGCTGGATTTGCCTTTCTCGTGTCGACGCAGTTCATGCACTTCGGCATGATGAAGAAGAAGAGAGAACGAGCGGCACACATACACGGCCAGGCACCCATAGAGGATGCCGAGTCCACCACACTGTTACTCAGTCCCTCTCCCCCGATCACAGACGAAATCCCCACTCCACATCCCACATCCAGAAAAATCTACGAGTTCTTCGAGATCCACGTAGAGCTGAGCGTTTTTAGATGGATCCACCACCTTCTGGGGATTTTGTCTGTTCTTGGCACGATCGTAACTCTAGTTCTGACTGTAACGACCCTGGTGTGGAACATAGAGACTCCAAGATTCGCGACCGATCTTTGCAATTGCACGCTTACTGGCACCTGAAGTTGTTTAGATGTAACGTATGTATCTGTATCTGTATAGCCGGTATAACACACCAGCTTCTGTATCTGTATAGCCAGTATAACCGCCCTTCGGCGTAACACACCAGCTTCTGTATCAGTATAGCCGGTATAACCGCCCTTCGGCGTAACACACACCAGCTTCGCAGGCACGCGGCGCGGCGGCATCAGCTATATATACCACACCGAACGACTTGTTACACTTAATCTTTGCACATTTAATTGCAGGAGTTTTTTTAAAGCTTTCTAGTGATGATGCCCCAGCTGTGTATGTAAAATACACATTGCTCTTACTGACGGCTATTCCAAGATCAGGGTGTTGCACTTGGGCCAATTTTTCAAGTTCCACATTTTTCCACGTTCAATTTCTATGTACATAGACCTCCACAATCAAATGTATTGCTTATTAACTTACACGTGAACACCACTATTGTTACAGTAGCAAACACCGGGTCTTTCCCTGGCAATGTATTTTTGAAATTGTAAGAAACAGTAAACACTACAACTTGATTAGTTGTACGGCTTTGCTTCATTGCAACGTGCAGACAGAATCAATTCATTTCTATGTAGATGAAGCAGCCCACGAGTCATCTTCTGAAACCAGACAATTCACGTCAGCGCTAAGATTAAAAGTACGTACATGCGCTTTGTCCAAACTGGGGTTGTAGCTGACATGTTGGTGCTACTTGAAGATGTTTCGCCAATTCACCACATACTGATATGCTACATGTTTCTTGGCTAATATGATATCATAAATGTTCAGTTTTGTCTTACTGGTGGAAATATAGGGTTGTCTAAACAGTTTCTTATTGAACATTGCCTTGTTGAGTATAGTTATAGTATTAAGGCAACTGTCGTGTTTTAAGTACAGGGTTGATCATTTTGGAGCTGATTCGTAAGGGATGGATGGATGGATGGATGGATGGATG